GAGAGAGAGAGAGAGAGAGAGGGGTACTTGTCCAAAAAAATGGATAAGTAACCTGTAGAATAAAGTAGATTAGCTGTTACGGACTAGAATATATTAATTAATTGTGTAAAAATTCTTTTAAATTGTTAGTTAAATTCATATATAGATGTTGGATAAGGTTTTATAGGTTGGGATTTTCCATATATTCTCCAAATTTTCTATAGAAAACCACTACAGATAATTATCAATATTTAACGTAAAGTGTAACCTAGAAAGAGAGTAAATTAAAAAACATACTATAATCGGTTAAACTTTGCAAAATGTACAAATTGTATAAAAACTTAAATCTATTCTCCGATTGGTGCAAACTGAAAAAAGTTTTCTGACATCCTTATCTAGTGTTGTATTTTTCCAGTTTTCTGACTCTCTCTCTCTCTCTCGTTTAAAAGTTTACCAGAAAGAAAGAAACAAAAAGGAGAAAATGACCATACTTTGAAGCTAATATTTCGAGCAGAGAAAAAAGGAGCATAAACAGTGACAGAAGCAGTTTGATAGGTACGAAGCTGTTGTCCATCTGCGCCTTTGTCCTTTGCTCTATCATGCCATTCTATTATCGTCACTTCCCTTCCTGCTCCTTGAAATGTTATGTATGGCTTTGTTTCTGGCACCACCACTTTCTCTCTACAACAACACATATTTCCATTAAAATAAGAGAGACAGACACTCGTGAATTGGTCAATAATTGAAAATGTACGAAACATGTTCACGTACTTGGACTAATAAAAATAAATGTCACTATATGTAGATGCTACTTGCATGGTATATAAGAAAGATAAGAGAATTATCCTAAATAGTCGCCAACCCAAATGCTAAAACTAGTAGCTGACGAATGTAAAATATATGTATAATTATAATTATATATAATCGGTTTATAATATATTTATACTTGCTATTAAAAAAAATTAAACAATAAATTAGTCCAGCTATTTGTGTAAAGATACCTGTAAGATATTGAATTATACCATTTGAATTTCACGAAGGATTTTTGTTTTGAGTGTCTCGCACAGGTGATGACACTTGCATTGTTCAAGAAAGGTGTGAATCATTAAATACACGTCTTATATTCTATCTTTCAACTCTCTTTAAAGAAGAAGAATTAACTTCTACACGTGACAATATAAAACAATTTTATATTATCGAATTACCTAAATAAAAATTACATATAATTATCCATAAATAGTGGAATTAGTAACCTTGAAAATAAATCAGGTTACCTGTTAAGATAAGTTAAAAAAGGAGTATATTTTACCTACGGCCAACTTATATAAAGTGAATCCAAAAAGTAATTTACCCCGTAATTATCTTATAGTAATTAGTAAAGGACTTGATTGCGTAGAACTTAAACACTCAAGAAAACTCTGTTAACATATGAAAGTAGTAAAACAAGATCAGAGGATGGGTAGGAGGAAAAAATAATTACATGTAATAACCAGGGCAAATGTCAATAATGACATTCATTCGGTTGTTGTGTGGAATAGAGTCCACAGCAGCCTGAACTGACTGGTAATCTCCAAAACCATTAACGTTAACTGAGATATGGCGAGTGCCTGAAGGTCCGATCCATTTATGGTGGCGGTGCTTGATAAAACTGGAAGCTGCTGATACACTGCTACAATCTGCAAAAAAGAAGAAGAAGAAGAAGAATAAAAAGTAATGTACGAAGAAAATTGTGAATATGGTAAAATAAGAACTGAAAACAGCCATTATAATAGAATTTAATATCCTGAAAGAATTTGAGAGAGAATGTAATCTTGGGAAATTGGGGAAGAATGTTATTAAGTGAAGGAAGTATATATATGTGTGGGAATTTGGAACGTGCAACGGTCATATTTTCTGTGTTCCCTCGCCTTTAGGATATGTGTGTTAATAATATAATGTGCAAGTAATTAATTTGTTATATATGCGTGACCATTTTGTTCAAAAGTCAAGAACTTGGACTCTTATATTTGTTTCCATCATTTGTAACTTAGATTTCTGTGCTGATTGGCAGCAAAAAGCATAATCATACACTATTTAAAAAGAAAAGGAGTAAAGGGAACACTATATTGCTATTAAGTTTTGGGGAGATTAGTTTTATGACCATTACAAATGTTAATTAGTTATATGACTCTTTTTTATAAAAGATTGTTATAACATAAATAATAGTAGGTAAATAAACACAAGAAGATATTAATATGGTCATTTTACTCAATTCAGGTTGTAATTGTATTTGTGAATTCGATTATTCTGTATCATTTATTAGAATAGTGAGTTTGAACAAATTTAGACTATTTAAACTGAGAGTAGTAAGTTTTGAATTTTTAATTTTTTCACACTTGAAGATTTAGCATATTGAATTACTATGCTATAAATTTAACGTCAAAAATGATGGTAAAGGATTTTTGTGATAATAATTTAAACTTGTGAAACTTGCCAACGTAGGTGCACTGGTATTATTACATCCTGAATGATGAATAAATGACATTTTTCCGGTATGGCAATACTGATTATATTCTAGTCTTTTCTGTTATAAAGTCTTAACTAGAAATGGCTGTTACCTACCAGTCAGAGACTCAGAATCTTCTAACCAAATATCATGTCTTCAACATAAGTCCTGCAACTCTGAGTATATAAATGTTTCTTTCAAGTGAAATCATAAAATTAAGTAATAAGTAGCTCGATCACTGTAAGAAAGGTAAGCATAAACTGAAGATAGTTAAGGTAAAAAACCATAACTGATTAAATTATCGAATAAGCTGCATTCAGGAAAAAATAGGAACTGAGATAAGTTTAAATAAGCAACATGGTTAGTGAAGATTCATCTAGGCAAATTTTACTTATTTGGAATTGAAGCATATTTGTTGTTGTATAGAAAAATAATATTATTCCCGTTGTTTCAATTAAGCGAGTGCTAGGACCCGTAGTCTTCATTAAAAAGTAAGTATTATAAATCAAACTCTTTTCCAGTTAAAGATAAATGAAAACTACTTGAATAAAACTGTAGTTAAAGAAACAAAAGCTATAGACTTTTAATCCTTTTTTTTAAATTAACTACATATAATGAAGTGTCATTCTTTTTGAGACGGAACAAATAATAAGAAGTAGTAACACTAAAAAGAAGGGAGAAACAACACCTATAGAAAAGAAACATGATATTAAATGAAGTCTACACCGTAACCAGAGGGGTTTCATGTTCGAGTAGGTTCGATCTCTAAGTATGAAGTCATTATATTTGTTAGGAAGTGTTTTTTACCTTCCAAAGTGATATTTTTCTATACTTATTCGAACTTAATTAGTCGGACCCAACGTGAATACCAGGCCGGAAACAAATAAAAAAATGAAGACTACAAAGTGTCTCGAATGTTTAGCTGTAAATGTCTGTGAGTTTATAGATAAAAGGTTGAAACGGTCATGTTTATTAATTTGCATGTGGGAATACATAGGAGTTATAGAGATAGTGGTGTGCAACTGTGCATGTAGGGAAAAAATGGTCCTAGCATGGTCTCTACATTTTTGACTACTAAAATACACTATAGTTGCTTTCCCTCTTCTCCCCTTGGTCCCTAGCTATGTGGAGACCCACTATGAGTAATTTATGTTTTTTTGTTTTGTTTTTAATGTTCATGGAAATGGGCCCTTCGAATTTAAAAGTGAGTTTTTTCGAACGTTGGAAAGGGGGGAAAGAGATTTTTTTTCCACACAAAGGGGCGTTGAGACAAAAATTCCAAACTTGTATAAAGATTGATCTTTTTAAAAGAAACAAGAAAGTTTTTATGATGGGATGTTGATTTTGCTTGATTTTTGGGTGTAGGCCCTCAAATCATTGAACAAACAGTTAAAAAGAATGAAATCCTGTTTAACCTTGAGCAGTTAATAGTAATTCGTGTGTAGAATGAAAAAAGAATTTCTCTCAATGAAGTTAGTAGTTACTAATCTAGCAAAAATTTATGTCTGAAGTTTGAACTTAAATATTATTTGTCTGAAGTGTGACCTTATTAAAGTAAAACTTCATATATTTTCGTCCGAAGTTTGGCCTAACTTGCAAAAGCAATCAAAAAAACTTCAGTTCGTAGTGTAAATTTCAGACAAATTAGTCTGAAGTTCGTTAGTTTGTAGTGCACACTTCAAACAAAACCAGTTTGTTATATTTGAACTTTAGATAATTTTTCCTGGCATGATAGTTGCAAACTTTAGACAAAATTAACTTGGTAATGTCTGAAGTTTGGCCCTGCAATCCCAAACTTTAATTGATGCTTCGTCGAGTTTTGACAATAAACTCTTGTTTTATTATTTACGTACTAAGTGTTGGGGTGAAAACTTCAGACAAATTAGTCTGAAGTTCTTTAGTTTGTAGTACAAACTTCAGACATATTAGTCTGAAGTTCTTCAGTTTGTAGTGCAAATTCAGACAAAATCACCTTATTATATTTGAACTTTAGATAATTTTTTCTGGCATGATAGTTGCAAACTTCAGACAAAATTTAACTTAGTATGTCTGAAGTTTGTCCATGCAGTCCCAAACTTCAGTTGATGCTTCTTCAAGTTTTGACAATAAACTTTTGTTTTATTATTTACGTACTTTGTATTGGGATGTATTAATAATTGAGAGACAGTGGCGAGTCTTTCTTTCTTCTTGATTTGTCGCTTTGTCCAATTTCTAGAAACGATAACATGTGTAACTTACAGAATAACATATTTGAGAGAGAAAAGAAGAAGAAGAGGAGGAAAATAAGAGGAGGATGAAATGAGCGCATAGGTCGCAGGATACGAAGTTCTTAAAATTAGGGTATAGGTTAAATAATTTTAAAAATATGGGTATAGGTTAAATGGGGCACGGCCAAATAGGGCGCTCCATGCAATTTTTACGGTAATTGTTTCATTTTCCCCTTTTGGAAAAGTTTCAGTATTTAGTTTGTTTGTGTTCGTTGGAAAATCCTTTTTGACAAAATTATCTCGGAATGAATCTGGGTCCAAATTAGAAATAGGCCATTTCTTAGCAATATTTAATGAGTAATTTCTTCTCCGTTCCTTTAAGAAGAAGAGAATATTTCATATTCTTCATCATAAACTTTTTTGACAGTGTCACTAAATAGTGTCATTTACTAGGAGGTAAACTTGCTTGTGGTTCAAGGTAAATTTTCTAACCTTCAAGATATTCTTAAAGTTATGCAATAATAGACGGTGATGTATTCTTCACACATAATTGCAAATTAAAAGGCTATCAGTTGTGATTTTTTGTTAACAATGTCTCTCGTACGATTATCAAATTAAAATTTAAATATTTATAATTTTTGCATTGGTCATTTGGGTTATGTATTTCGTAATAGAAAATTGATTAGGCATTATAATTGATCATACCAACAAAAAATCTTATTAATTCAAGATAATGTTTATACTATGTTTTATATTTAGATTACTAATTATTATGTCAGCTCAATTTGCTCATATTTTGTAGGAAAATAATAAATCCGACTTTTAATTAAATGTGTTATATATATTACATAATTTTTAAATTGTGTTATTTAAGAATTAAATATTATATATTGTCGTCCTTGCATCAGGTCAGAATTTTATTAGTTTCATTAATTCGGGTAAATAATTCTCCTTGTCTTATAAAAAAATAATCATTGTAGAATTTCTTTGGTACTATTTCACATTCTTCATCATAAAATTTTTAAGGAAGTTTAGTTTTAAAGGATGGTACTTGATTTTTCTATTTCACCTTATCTTTTCCTTCTATTAATTTTAGTTCTTAAGAAATTACCAAGTTCATCAAATTAGGAATTTTAGTTTAAAGGTGTGCATTGAGTTTTTCCTATTGAGTTAGATAAATAAGATCACCAATTATTATTATTGTTATTAGAAATTTATACTTTCAAACAAATTATTAAATATAATATTTATGTTAATTTTTAAAGTTTAATACTCATTAATATGGGGTACGCGCGTACCCTGAGACTAGTATTATATTAAAAGTGAGAAGCCCATAACTAAAAAGTTGAATTACTAAATTACCTCTCTTATTAATCTAAATTCTTTACTTATTTAAATAAATAAATAAATAAAAATATTAAATATATTTGAAAGGGTGTAACCCTTCAGATTTTATATATTACTAATGTGAGTAACCATTCCTATTTTCTATAGTATTCAACCATTGCTACTGTTGGCTTAGACATGCATGTTATGTAGCACAAGACTCGGCCTTGGTCCTACCCACCTCCCTCGATTCTGCTTCTCTTCCCATGTGACACCGCTTAGTCCTGCATCTTATTTAATATTGGGTCTCCGTCAATTGTCATCAAACTCGGTAATTACTTTAATTGAAATTTTGGTTCATTTTTCTTTTCAAAAATTTGAATAGAAAAATTACATTTGGAATCTTATCTTTCCTTCCGATCCTATTTTAACTAAGATTTTTGTACTATTGACAGTACATAAAAAAAAATAGTACATTTTTAATTATAACTTATCACCTATGTTGCGTGGATTCTCCAAAATGATATCGCACCTGTGTCGGATCCTCCAAAAAATACACTATTTTTGGAGGATCCGACACACACCCGATAATATTTTCGGAGAGTTCGATCAACATAATTTACCACTGTTACACTTTATGTACATGATTATCTTTAGTTACCTCTTAATGCATTCCATTTTACACTTTTTCCTCCTTTATCCATACTTTTCTACAATGTTCTTCCTTTTCGTTTTGAGAACTAAACAGGTATGATTTTGACCATAAATACCTTACTTATAAAAATCCTTAAATATAAA